GACATGTCCAAACCATCGTAGCTGTGATTTTTTAATCAGAGACACCAGCGGCTCTGCACCAAGGCTCTCGCAGATGTTTGCATTCCGGACCATTTTCAGACGCTTAAGGCCAGCGACTTCTCTCAAAAAGCCCGTTTCAGCCGCTTGTACCCGGTTCGAAGATTTTCAGTCATGGTCCATGTCCACTACACATGACCGCAGTTATACATGGGGATGAATATCGAGAGCTTAGTCTTCACACTAAGCTCTGCTTTAGACACAATAATTCGGGCGAGTTCGCGCAGAACGCCATTTTCCACACCAATCCGCCGGCCGTTCTCTTCCTCAAATTTTCCCTCAGGACCCCAAGGTATTCGAAGTTCTCCATTTGTTCCACAGCTTCTCTGTTTATCTGAAAAGAGCAACATGCAGGAGAACGAAAAAACGCAAGGCTTTTCGGTTTAAATACTTCCATGCTTGCTGCCATGTCGCACTCGCTTGCAAACCTTTCCAAAGGGCTCTATTCCAAACAGCTCTAGTTTAAAAAAATGCCAACAAAGCAAGATCGTCTGCAGTCAGCAACCTTATCGTCTCCACATCTCTTAACATCAATCTACCCATCGCCTTGTCTCCGCCTGACTATTCTCTCCATGTACAACACAAACAGGAGAGGGGACAGGACGCAGCTTTCGCGGGGGGACCAGTGCCAACGTCGAAAGGCTTCGGCTTAATGCAATTTGCTCTGACGCAGCACCTGATATCATCATATAGTGACTGAATGGCCCGTAGCAACCGGTCATCGATCCTGTGCGTTCCCAGGTATGTCCATAGACTGTTGCGCGGAATCCAGTCATGGGCCTTCTCTAAGTCAACAAGGCTCCTGTACATCGGATGTGCGAACACACACGATTAGTCAACAGTCTGGCGTACGGTAAATATGCGGTCAGAGATGTTTCGATCGGACCGGAAGCCACACTGTTACCCTTGTATATTGGACTTTATTCCGAGGTAACTCCTAGCACCTATGCGCACAGTTTTCTCGGGAGCCCAACAAGATAATGCGTCGATACCTGGAGCACTGCAAGTGGCGTCTCTTCTTCAATAGATTGACACTCCCCGTTCTCTAGTCCACTTGTGTCTTCCTTGTAGCCATTGGAGCTTGACAGACACGTGCAGGCCAGCACATCACTTGTTCACCTATTGCTTAGAGCATTCAGGGAGGATTTCATCAATTCCAGCTGCCTTTACATTTTTCATGCTTTTGACAGCTTCTGTAATTTTATCTACAGAGAGTAATATCCATTCCCTGCTGCTCTACAATCGAGTCTTCCTGCGGTTTTTCGGCGTTTCCAAGCCATTTCTTGAATGCTGCTTTCTTCTCTCTAACTGCCAGTTGTACCTCTCGTGTCCACCATGAAGATCTTTTCTGACCTCCAGGAGGCAGACCAACCTGCTTACATCCCCAGCATTTGGCAGCAGTCTTGAGTATGCCGCACTTAAAGAGCTGGCACTCTGTTTCAACATCAGTTGTCATCACCGGGATCTGCTCGAAGCGTCATGCGATGTTGTTTGCAGAATTCGCTCTCGTGTCTACCGAA